TTCCATTGTGTGAATATACCACAGCTTCTCTATCCATTCGTTTGTTGATGGGCACCTGGGTTGTTTCCAACTCCTTGCTATTGTGAACAAAGTGGCGATAAACATGGGTGTGCATATATCTGCTTGGATGTCAGTTATGGTCTCTTTGGGATATATTCCCAACAGTGGAATTGTTGGGTCAAATGGTATCTCTATTTGCGACTTTTTGAGAAAGCACCATACCGCCTTCCACAGTGGTTGCACCATTTTACATGGAGTGCAGACATCTTTGTTCTTAAATCTCAGTGCTATGTTTGTGAAATGGAGTGCAGACATCATTGTTCTTCTGCTTGCAGAGAGCCACCTGCCTTACACACAGGAGACCTGGAGGACCCATCCAGTTGTTTCGTGTTTCCATCTACAGGTGAGTTTTTAGCAGAAGCCCAGAAATTGGTCCTGATTAAAATCCTGTGATGGCTATTTCCTTAATAAAAGCAAAAGGTATGGTCCCCAAAGTAGCCTCTAACACGCATTAGTACTGGCTGTTTCCTGATGCTCTTCTTCCATGCATTCTGCTTTCTTTTCCTTTCCTTGCCCCTCACCAACATCCCAACTAGGGTACTTATTTGTAAAACTTTGGTTCATTGTGAATACTTGCTAGGAGTTTTATTGTTTTGTTTTCAATTATTGTTTTAGCTAAAGTGGACAGAACAAATTTGTCTCCATGCATATATGTTGCTGCTGTTATGTGCCATTGAGTCAGAACCAACTCTTTTCTATCAGATTTTCAGAGGTTGTAAATTGCATGGGTGATTACCCATCTTTCTTCCACAGAGCAGCTGGTGCATTCAAACTGCCTCCCTTTTAGGCTGGCAATGTGACTCTTTACCACAAGGCCATCAGTGTACCATGTGTGTGTCTATATATATTTATTTATGACATTAATTATTATAACTACATATATTATCACTCTGCCCAACATCTCTCTGTGATTCTTATTTCCATTCATTCTTCCATTCTTACCCCTCTTACCTTCTGAATTTTATCTTTGAGCAAATGCTATCTTAAACATTTGTTATTGAGTGTTTATGGGTTTTTTTTTATTCCCTCCCTTTTTTTAATTTATATTTTTATCATTCCATTGTGTTTCATGCATGTAGACTGTGTCCTATACAGTCCTTATTTATATTTCATTTATATTGTTGGGGGTCTTTTTTTCCCTTAGAATCATCTTACCAGCAACTGCTTTCATGAAAGCATGTAAGTCAGCTACTTATTGCCTCAAGCCCTAATATCCTCTTTTAAATAGCCAATTTCTGATGTGCCTATCCCTATCAAACTAGTAAGTACTCTGAGGAACAAGCACCTCCCTTTTGCTGAAGGATCTTCTTTTCAACTTGAAAACTTTGAGCATCTATGTCCATAAATATCGTCCATTCCAGGGCAAACCATCAGGTTGCATCACTCAACCTTAGTTCACACTATGGATCATCTTGTCTTCATCTTTACTGGATTCTGGTCAACTCATTCCCATCCATCTGTGGCTAGGTTTAAATGAGCATCTGCTGCAAGCTCAGGAGTCCATACTTCCCCCTCCTGAGTTCCAGCTTTGTCTCCTCACTCAGCCATAGCCCCCCATATGGGTCCAAGTCAAGTCACCAGGCCAGGGGTCCTTATTATTCCCTGCTCCTTAAGTCAACAACCCTTCGCTGCTTCTCCACACATCTGTCCATTCTAGATGGACAACACTGAAGGAACATGTCCAACCTCAGCCTGTTTCCTCGTTGTTGTATTCCTCCCACTTCTACTCCTGTGGACCCAGGTGATCGCTATGAGTAAGCATACTCCAACATCAAGTCTTGGAAGTGAGGTCTGATGGGTGCCAATTTCACCCTGCCTCAGAAGTCAAGCATCTTGTTCCAGTTATAAGAAGACAGCCTCTTCCTTTCCATTTTTCCTTTTCTTTCTCTCCTTTCCTGTTTGCTCCTCTTTAAAATGTGTATCATGACTGTTTTAAATGTTGACTATCTCCCTAGTCTTGCTGTTCACCTTATTATTGTTGTTTTGTGCAGTCCAGCCAACTACTACTCAGAGCGACCCTGTGAATAACAGCTCTGAATCTAGCCATATTCTGAGCCAACCTCACCATCTCTAACAAACCTGACCCCATTACAAAAGTCACTGTGTCAGTCAATCTCATCCAGAGTCTTCCTCTCCTGCACTTGCCCTCCACCCTTATAAGCATGATGTCTCTCTCCAAGGACTTGCCCTTCCTTGACAGTATGCCTCAAGTATATATGATGGTGTTTCAAAATCCTTGCCTCCAAGAATCAACCTGATTCCACCCTCTCCAGGACAGACCTGTTTGTTCTGTTGGCATTCCATAGTATGTTCAATATTTCCAAGACATTGATTCTTCTTCTGTCATCCTTAATCATTATCAAGCTCTCTGATGAACAGCAAGCCATTGAAAAGACCATGTCCTGGGTCAGGTGCACCTAGTCTCTACACTGACACCATTGCTCTTTAGACCTCTGTAGAGGCTCTTAACAGTAGATTTCCCCAGTGCAACTCATCTCTTGATTTCCTGCCTGCTGTGCTGATTATGGTTCCAAGCAAGAGGAAATCGTTAACAACTTTAGTCTTTTCTCTATCTCTCATTATGCTGCCTGTTGGCCCATTAGTGCTATTGGTGGTGAGGATTTTTTTTTCTTGATATTGAGATGCAATCTATATTGAAGGCCCCAGTTCATAAATGTTTTGAGTCGTCCTCCATTTCAGCAAGCAAGGTTGCCCACCTTATAGATCTATTGTTTGACTGAATGTTGTGCCACAGGGGTAAATTTTGTTTCAGGCTCAACAGAGATGGCCAAGAACCTTGTCATCTTGTTATCCTTGAATATGCAGAATGAACTTCTACATTAGAAACTTTATACTCTCTGTTCCATAGGCATTGCTGGCCCCTTACCTCCTTTGAAGTCTTCACTCATGTTCATAATGAGACTTTTTTTTTCTCACTACCTTTTCTCACTACAGAGCAAGGGAACACTGCATGGTTCAAAATTGGGAAGGGCATATGCCAGGGATGCCCTACCTTTTCAACCTGTATGCAGAAGAGATTATCCGGGAGGCTGGGCTCTA